AAAAGTCTTTATGCAGTATTGGTAGAGATAGAAAGTTGACAACTACCTATAGAGTTCCCAGTAAAATTATGCAGTTCCTAGTATGCATATACCCTTTGATCCAGCAATTTTGTTTGTGGGCAATATTGTCTCAAAAAATTCTCATGAAGACCAATAAATTCCATATGTCTAGGTTCCTTAGGAAGAAATGAATACATACTACATGGAAGCCAAAAATATTCATAAAAGTGTTGACCCTTACATGTCCCTATTCTTAGTGTCTCCATATCCTCTATAGTTTTAACTTAACCTTTGCTGAAAAGGTAAGTAAGACTAAACAAACCATGATCACTTCTTTACATAGGCTAGTTTAAGAAAAAGGAAAGCAGGGTATGCAGTGAGGGAAATGTTTCAGTGTTAGAGACTGCACAAATCTGCATCTGAGTCCAGGCCTTAGAGTTTGTCCATGTAACTTGGAGTCTTTGCCTGCCTCAGTCTGTTCACATAAAACACGGTTATTACCCACTTTGCATACCAGGAGGATTAGAGATAACCAATGTCTATTTGTCAGTGCCTGAAAACTATAGTGTTCAATAGACAGGAAGTGATTTATTTTAACCAAATAAAGCAACTTCATGAAATAACCCTACCAGATTTCCATGCCCTGCTCAACCTATCTTAAGCAGAATGACTTACATTCGTGTTATATAACACACACAGAAATCAGGGACTAATTCAATGTGAATTCACATATCAGTTTTTTCCTCTGCAGAACAGGGATAAATCATACCTCCTTTTTCTTACACTTAAACTGTAAAGGTTAAGACTGGGAAGCCTCTTTTAGCTTCTGGCAAATGAATACAAGGCTGGTAGTGGTGGTGGCTATGATTGTCGTGATTCTGCAACTGGCATCAGAGTCCTGACTCTACAAAAACAGGGAAGGGATATTCACAGATGCATTGCAGGGTAAATGCTCTTAGGAGAAATCCAGTTATCCATGACTAACTGCAAAGATCTCAAAGATGACCATGAAAAACAATTAGCCCAGAGACAAGACCAGATCCATATCACCCATTTAATGTACAACAAAGAGGAAAAATTCCATCCGTGAATCTTTATATGCTGATGGCTAACATATTATACATTTTCAGTCTGGAGCAGTTGTTTTGCTTTGGCCTCAATTCCCAACCTATCAAGTTCAGGGTGCTGGAAGAGGTCTGTAGGCTGAATCCCTATCTCATGCATACACGCAGTACTATTTTACAAATACAGGAAGATGCTGAAGTCATTACTTGCAATATATACTCCGCTGAGTGTTATTACATAACCCTCATGAAACATTTGCAATTATAAGAGATATGAAGTAAAACAGTAAACCAGTTAAGATCACTGAAATATTAAATAAAGCTTCCTGATTTTTTTAAGGGTCGGGGCTACTGCATTATAGTTTATAATTTGACTAAGAAGGCTATTTTTTGCTTTATAATATACATGAAAAGAAAAAAGGTTTTGAAAAAATGAAATCTTAACTTGCATTTATCTCCACTCCTAGTCCCCTCTTGGCCATTAACTTTTCCTTGGCATTTAACATCAAAGCTAGTTACCCTTTCATTTTTAGACTTTCTGTTCGAAGAGATCACGGATAGCTCACAAGCCACTGCAACTCACCAATAGACAGAAAAGGCAGTGCACTGTGTACTAAGGAACTATACATGTATCATTTCATTCCTCCCTTATAGAAGAATGATCTCTCATTTCTTCTCTTTTGCTCCTCCCCTACCTTCTCTCTCTGAGGGTTTAGACCACAGTTTTACAGAGGGAAAGTTATAGACCACTACAAATACTCTAATTATGGAAGAGAAAATGAATATTTATCCAACACTTATGAAAAATGTACTCCAAATTTTAATTTGCAGTATAACAAATTAAACCATTATTTTACAGTTTAGTTAATGGTACAACATTAAAACCATAAAGAGAGCCTCAACTTTAAGCACTACAAAGATAAGGAAATAAACTTAACTCCCATCTAAGGAATATTACAAAAATATTTCATCTATAATTTAAAGTTACATGGGTTTGCTCACGTTGTTCTGTAACGTGACCCTCTCAGTGGATTACCTTGAGCTGGAATGAAAAACGTAGGGGATGTACACGGTGGCAGCAGTAGTGGGGAGTTGAGTCATACACATCATTAACTAATTAATTAATTTTCTGGGACATAAACTGCTCTAGGAGTAATCCAGAAGTGGTTTTTTAATTCTAAAAAACTAAAATATGGTAATCTGGTCCCTCAGAAAGATACTTGCTCACTAAAACCTGACAAAAAATATCTGTAAATTAAAATATACTATTAGAATTTTGGCAGCAGAACACAAATCACACTGGTGCAAACACAGTTAAATCTAGTCACAGACACAGAGGAAGTGTAAATTTCAAATATTAAAAAAAAATTGCCTCAAGAATAAAAACAAACCTTGAGCTCCAGGCAGAGCCTGAGTGAAGAGGAGTAAGGAAAAACCTGGAGATGTGGTAAGGCAATCCAGCTTTCTTTTGGAATGGTAAGGACCACCTGAATCAGCACCGCCACCTCTTCCTTAGGCAGCAACTTTCCAGACTACAAAAGAGCCACGGATTACATCAAAAGACCCCTGTTCAGGTCTCAACGACTCCATTTACTAATACGACCACTGACAAGTCACATCTCGTCAGCCTGTCTTCTCTCTCCTTAAACTAGAGAAAATGAATCCTACTTCACTACAGCATGGAAAGGAGCAAGAAGGGTTTACCTCTGTTGAAAGGAGTAAAGAAAAAATACATAATATAACAGTGTGCAAATAGAAATGACAATCTAAAGGCCAGATATAATATTTGAGTTTAAGCACCAGTAGAATGGAAGGAGACTCTGTACCTAAATGGGAAAGAGACTTGGAGGGTCACAAAAGCTGTTCTACTGTATCTTACAGCAGACTGACAGATGCTAAAGAAAGTCCCCAGATAAAAAACTGGGGGGCAAGGAATACACATGGGTATAAAAGTAGAGGCAAAACACTATGGTTGTACAGGTCTTTCAAGAATCTCTCAATTGGCTGAGTGTGGTGGCTCACGTTTGTAATACCAGCACTTTAGGAGGCCAAGACGGGCAGATCATTTGAGGTCAGGAGTTCGAGACCAGCCTGACCAACTTGGCGAAACCCTGTCTCTACTAAAAACACAAAAATTAGCCGGGCATGGTGTTGCGTACCTGTAATTTCATCTACTCGGGAGGCTGAGGCAAGAGAATCACCTGAACTTGGGAGGCAGAAGTTGCAGTGAGCCAAGATGGAGCCACTGAACTCCAGCCTGAGTGACAGATGGAAACTCTGTCTCAGTGAAAGCCTGGCCTTGAAAAATAATAATAATAATAATAATCTCTCTTGATTACTTTCTTCACTTTTCATGATGTATTTGGCAAGAAGAGGCATAAACACAGCCATCTCACAATTAAATTCAGACTTAAGAAGTCCATGTCTATCTAGGAAGGATAAGTTTAACTGTTCAGTTTTTAATGTGCATTTTGGCTATTTAATGTCATGTACTTAATGAGTACATGTTTTGTACTCAGGCGGGTAAATTTTCCTTTCAAAGCAAACTTAATTAGACAGTAAATGTTTTATTACAAAATTTTTAGCATCAGAAGGTCTAGTCAGCATCCAATGTCATAAATGTAAATTCTACACCTAACCCTGACTCCTTAGATGGCTTGGCTACCCAATAAAGTGAAAGCATGCAGTGTATGTGATACTGTGTTACACAGATTCACTTTTCCTCAGTGCTACAGGGAGAGACCTGCTTTGGCACAGTCTCACTTTCCTCCCCTCTAGTCATATGCTCACATCCCTTCCTCTGAAATAAAAATTAAGAAGATGCTACTGGCTTTAATAGGGCTCAAATATTTAATTTGAGACCATATAATGATCTGGTCAGACTGATCCTTCTCAACCATGCCAGTCCCTTAGTGTCCTCCTCAAGACTGGAGTTTCACCAGGTAGATAAATAGGCAGTAAAACAAGGCCAGGCTTTCACTGGGGGAGAAGTCAATCTGAGTTAGTCTGGAGAAAGAAGAGCTGCCTGGGAAATAAAGATGCAAAAGTCTGTAACATAAGACCAGTCCTAGCATTTTATTCTCCTTCTATGAACGTTTGAGATGGAACAGGGTGTGGATGTGAAATTATAATCTACTTGGTGAATTTGAGAAAAGTCACTCTCAATTTTACTTTGATGACAAATGGAATTAATAGAGATGCCTGGCTCATATGTTAAAGTACCTTCTGTCTCAGCAAGGAAGGCTGGCTAAGAAACCACAGTGGAGTTAAGAAGCCAGACACCAGACTAAACACCTCAGAACTCGCTGCTGTGTCTCATTCCTGGGCCCTACCTTCCTGGTGTGTGTCTGCACCACTAATTCCCTCCATTTGGCACGGCCTGGCTTTCCCAAAACAGAAAGCAAGGAACTGTTTCAGCAGCTGAAAAGCTGAGACTTCTGAGCATGGACATTTAGATTCTTCTCTCCTGTCCACCTTACACTTCACCCACAACTCATCTTCTTCCTCTTCCCTACGTCCCCACCCCTTGCTTTCACACCACCCTGCCTCCCAGGGCATTTATGTTCATAACCTCAGACCAGCAAGCGAGGAACAAAGAGCTGCCGCTTCAGGCAGCAGCAGTTAGAGAGAGTGGAGAGGGCAGCCGGGGACTCCAGGAAGACTCCCTAGGAACTGGCAGCCCCAGCACAGCCCTGCCTGGAAAGCGCCCCAGTAGAGTCCAGGCAGGAGCGTCCGCAGCACGCGCCAAGGGCCTTCCGCAGGCCCGACCCAGGGCGGCTGCAGCCAGAGTTTGGCAGAGCCCCCGGGTGAGAAGCCAGTGGTGGGGGCGGGCGAGTGAGGCTGCAGCACTGCGCTGGAGGTGCAGATCCTAGCCCAGCAGCACTCCATGCCCCGGACCTCCCACCAGCGCCCCGGACCCAGACCCGACCCGCGCACCTGGACCAGGCGGCCACCCTGTTCCCTCAGGGCGCTCTCTGGGGACTCGGCTTGGGCGAGCTCCGGAGGCTGGAACCGCGGCGACGGGGACTTCACTCCTCCATCCTGGGACCCGGCAGCACGTTATCGACAGCCGTGCACTTCCTGTTTGAAAACACAGGGGAGAGAAAGAGCGAGAGAGATCCGAGTGTCAGCAGCGTGGAGGAAGGGACGCGGGGCGGCGGGGAGGCAGGACCAGGGGCCACCTCTTGCATAACGGCCATGGTGGGCACCCAGCGCTCCCCTGGCCGCTGCCACCCCGCACCGGCTGCCCGCGTGGTGCCGAGGTGGCGCGGCCTCGGCCCGGGCCCCCCCTGCCGGTGGCCTCGCTGCCAGCCGCCCGCTTGCTCACTCACAGCCCTTCCGTTGGCAGCTGCTGCTCGCGTTCTCCCCTCCCCACAAGTACCTAGATCAATGGACTCCACACTTCCTCCACTGGTGCCCAGAGTGGTCCGCCTTCTTTTTCCTCCTTTCTTCTCCCCCCAGTTCCCACCCTTACCCCCAGAAAAGAATCACCTCGGGGGAAGGTGTAAAGACAAGACTGAGCCTCTGCAGGGGAGTGGGGGCTGGATTTATGCAAATTTTTAAAGTTAATAGCCACATCCCAGTTATAGCCACTACAGCTCAGCAGCTGTGAGAGATTCAGGATGGGAAATTACTTGTTGTGTGCCTCGCTGACTCAAGAGAGAGAGCGTGCACACAGCTGCCAACACTGAGCAGCCAGAAACTGCAAAACAACAGCAACAACAACACAACTACATAGTATCCTAGCTTCTTCCCAGGGTCTCTACGCCTATCAACCTGTCAACCTCATCCTCAGTCTACCAACATTTAGGTATACCCATTCCACACGGAGCATAATCGCATGGTGCATGCTTCCAGAAAACGGTTCTGTAGTTCTCTGTGCTGTGTAATCACAGAGAAGCGCTACAGTTCTGGGATTACATTCATTCATTTTGTTGAACTCTGGCTTATGTGGACTTCAGGATAGTGTTAAAAAGAGTAGACAGATGGCTTCAGAATCTGCTGTACGCAGAGTGTACTAGCTATGGGGATTCGCATTTGTAACCTGCCTGCCCTTACATGCAGAATCTACCAGGTTACAAGGCACTTACAGGACTGTCTCTGACAAATGGCTCCTTTTATCGTAAAGCTGTTGGCATTCACGGTTCCATATTCAAAATGGAGAACGGAATACAAACAATAATTACTCTACATAAAAAGGTCAGTTTTGACTGAAGCAGAAAGAAACTGATGGATATTAAACTCCTACTCAGTGCCAGACATCTCATTTTAAACCCCTCTTGACCCGAATATTTTCCAACAGATCTGCAAAAGCCCTATTCCTAAGTGAGAAAACAGGGTCAGAGAAATTAAGTATTCCCATGTCTCTGCTAGATAGTGGTCAAATGGAAAGCAGAATACAGGTCTTTCCTAATTATAAAATCTGCACCATTTCCCCTACACCGTGAATTCCTACAGTGATCATGAGTTCTAGGGGGAAAGTCCAGCACAGCAACCATTCTGTGATCCATCCCTTCATCTCTGGATGATCCTACCACTTACCAGCTATTGCTGTTGTGCTAGGCAGGTTCTTTAACCACCTGGATTATATGTACCTTAATTTTTCAGGCACAGGACACTGGCTTTTTCCACTATCTACTGCTGGCTATCGGCCTTTTCAGAGTTACTTGGTGGCAAAAGTTCAAAAGGTTCCAGAATGACTAATCGTATGCCAAGGTCCAAAGTCTGTCCAGTTCAGAACCTAACCAGCTGACTAAAATTTGCTCCCTGCACTATTTTTTCCCTAACTGGGGCTCTTTAAGAAAATGGCAAATGTTGTTCACAAAAACGCAAACATGGCTTCAAGTTGGCATTCTCTCATTTTGCTTCCTTTTCCTTTAACACATAGTTCACACTCACCTGGCAGTAGCATGCTGCTATGAGCCTCCTGATGCAGGCCAAGAAACAGAACACCTGTGAAAACGTGATTGAGAGTCTTGTGTGCTCAAAAGAAAAAAAAAAGGCAATACTGAGGCCTCCAAATGATGAACTACATCTCATCCACCCTTTCTCCCCACCTCACAGGCCTGAGTTGTAGTAGTGTACCCAGATGACTGCGGCCTTCAAGTACAAAGGCAAGGGCTGGGAAGAGGACTGCAAGGACCAGTGAGATGCATTCCTGTCCATCAGGCACTCACACTCTAATGAGGGCTTCTTACTAAAAGACTTCCCGGGCGGATCCTAGCATCCTCTTACTAAAAGAAGTCCCAGGGGATCTTAGCATCCTTTAGCTCTGTCCACCGTTTTCCTTCTCTCAGTCCTCTGCTTACCCTGGACCTGGCAACTCTTCATTTCTTTTCACAAACTTAATACTTCTTCCCAAAGAGCTACCACATATTTCCCACAAAGTACTCAGTGTGGGAGTGCGGGTGTGAAGGAGGGTATTTAGCTAGAAACTTCTGTCGTTTTAAAACCCTGTCAATAATTACCATGTTTTTAAGGACACAATTCTGTTTTAAAATATCTTTTGGTAACCCTCCTTCATTTCTGTTACTCATTATCTAAGAGCCCAAAGGAAAACCTCTGAATAAAAATATTTAAATTCTTAAGAAAAGGCAATGGAAAACTTAAACCTGCAGAGCCTTTGTTTCTTATATTTAGGTCTCATGAGATTAGACTATGTAACTTCTTAAAATCTCTCCTGGGAAAAATTCAAAGTTATTAATCTAAAAACAGTCAACAGTAGACTATTCCTATTTTGTCAAAGTACTGTACTGAGTGATAATTTAATGACACATCAGAAAGTTTGTATGGTTAATAGGTAACAAAATACAGAAGAGCATTTGGTGGAAGAGTAACAACCATACTCACCTGTGCTCCTGGGTCCATACCCAAATGTGTAATACTCTCCCCTCCAGAGTAGTGGCCAGCTGTGGGGGAACGGCAGCCACATTTCTCTCTCTTAAGCTCCTCTCTTAAGCTCCCTATAAACACACACCCTCTTCCTGATCAAAAATATTTATTAACATTCACTCTGTAGGACTCCTAAAGTTTACAGTTTGGAGAATACAACACAGCTCCTGACATTTCCTAATCCTAACTACCATGAGGCTTGAACACCATTCTATACTAGCCCCTGGGGTCAGCTATTCACTTGCTCCGTGTTTCATGGAGAAGTGTTTCTTTCTCATAGCCACTGTTATGCTTCTCTTTCTCTTTCTCTCTCTCTCTCTCTCTCTGTGTGTGTGTGTGTGTGTGTATTAAAATCACAACCTCATAAAAAGAAAAAAAATACACTCTCAGGCTCTCAGGTAGGCACAAATGATGCCACAAAAGTTTTTGGAAAAATCGGGGGTGTTCTGGTGAAAGTCTTCACTCTCTAAGCACCATAATCCCCAGATGAAGATAGCAACACTGAAAGCCATTTTAGAAGCTCCAAATTCGGTTTCAAGAAATAGCTTTTCTGAGGACTAATGGGTGTGGAGGAGGAGATGATAAACTCATCTTTACAAAACAATGCTGCTTATCTTTCTTCATCTTAAAAAACAAAGATCTTAGTTTGGCAGTTAAAAATGTTTGCCACAAGAACTTCTCTGTGTGAATATCATAATGCTTGGTGATTATTACATATGAATTTTGAAAAGAATGAAATAAAAATGAGAAGCTGTCTGGTTACCTAAGAGATGACCTCTCTGCACTATCAGCCCTCACAGCTGTGTCCCTACCTTGTCTTCACTTCCAGGATAGCACATGCAACAGGATTTTCTGGGAAGGAGGTCTCTGGAACTCACATTCACCTCCTGGCCTCTGCAAAACTTGAACCATGGCTTTCAAGGAAGCCTTTCTCAGAGCCAACTGGCTGGCCTGATTGGCAATTACCCATTAGCCATCTTCAAGGACAAAATGCAGCAAGGGGTTGCAAATCATCTTTTAAAAAATATGCTTGTAAGATAGTTTCCTGGGTTTGAGCAAGCTAATAAGGAAAGCACTTCTTAAAGCCCCACAGCACAACTTAGAAGATCCAGCCATGAGGCAGAAACACAGGGCCAGGGTGGCTACAGGCCTGAGCTGGTATCTCTCTAAGCTTGCACAAAATACTAACCTTGCACAAAATTACTAACATCACACAGGAAAAACCCTCACAGGCCCTGCCTCAGTGAATTATCAGAACTGCCTTTGCAGGAAGGTGTCGTTTATTAATGTGTTACAGAAGCAGCCGCAGGGCTCACAGATGTTAAGTGATACTCTCAAAGCCTTAGGTAATGGAGCTAAAACTCATCTGGGGTCTGTTCTTACTTCTTTTAATTGAATAGAAATGAGTGGGTGCATTTTGGCTGTGGATATATTATTCTGCACTACATATCTTTTACTCAGAAAAAATTCCAGTTTTAAAACATAACTTGTAACGTTGTTTCTCAAGTGCATCATACACCCTCATCACCTTCCATATTTTGGTAAAGTGTAAAGGATAAACACGTATTTTGTAATAGGCCAAATGATTTTAAGCCATAGCAATATAAATGGATATAAATTAGGCAAAATATGCACTTGAGCTGCAGCTGGATATTATTTAATAAAATAATAAGACAAATCTACTGATCAAACTGTGATAAACAAAATCTTAATATTTTTTTTCCAAGCTTCTGCTCTCATTTTTCAATTAGATGCAAAAACTGCATGTAAAGTGGGCCATGTTAGTTGATGTACTGGGATTTACTGAGCATGATACTGTGAAAGAAGGGTAAGATACCCCAAAATTCTGACTAAATGAAATACCTGTATAAAAGACTGTTCAAAATGTTCCCAGCACAGATTGCTATCAATGAATAGCCTTGGGTTAATGACTGTTGATTGTTATGTGTATTATGTAGACTAAATACTGTCCTATAATTCATTCTTCTTTGGAAGGCATGTTTTGTCTGTTAATCTTCTGTGGTAGTATCTGTTTCCTTATTTGAAACATTTTTTTAATTCTCTTTGGGCAATCTTATCTGTCTTATTTTTATTTTTGAGACAGAGTCTCACTCTGTTGCCCCGCCTGGAGTGCGGTGGCACAATCTCGGCTCACTGCAGTCTCGTTCTCCCGGGCTCAACCAATCCTCCCACCTTAGCCTCCCCAGTAGCTGGGACACATGCAGTCACCATCACATTCAGCTAATTTTTCCTTTTTTTTTTTTTTTTTTTTTTTTTAAGGGACAGGCTTTTGCCACCTTACCCAGGCTAGTTTTAAACCCCTGGACTCAAATAATCCACCCATCTCATTCTCCCAAAGTGTTGGGATTACAGGTGTGAGTCACCACGCCTGGCCTGGGCAATCTTGTTTTTAAAATAACATATTAAAAAAAGCCAACAATGTAAAAGGGTTGGATCCTAAAAATGCAACATACAATAAATACAATGTTTACTATTAAGCAAAGAAAAAAATGCCCTTAAAAATGACTTTCAGAGTTCATAAAGAATAAGTCACACACACCATATCTTGAATACAATTCTCCATTATACATTATAGTGGAGTCTACATGAAGAAAAATAATTCATGAATAATTTAAGGTTACAAAACTGGATACTCTGAATTTCATCTTCTTTCCTTTGCCTGTACTAGAACGGCCAAGGTAAAGAGTGTGAAAGAGAAACAGAGTACCCGAAAACTCCAGAAATGTTATTATGAACTTCTACAAGCTTATTCATCAATTTTTTAACTAACCCTAGTTTAATAAATGCCAAACACTTTACATGTATTAACTCAACAATTCCTGACAACAACCCTATGAGGTAGGCATTATCATTACCTCTATATTACAGAAGAGAAAACAGATATGGAGATGTTATATAATTTGCCCGAAGTCACACTGCTAGTAAATACTAAAACTTCGGCAGCCTGACCAGTCTACTTTTAACCAAAACTTTTTTTTTTACCCACAAGACACAACTGGATTGAGTTTACTTTCTTTAGTGTGAAAGTTCATGAGGTACAATGCCACAGACACAGCAGAATAAAAGGAGTGGGGTGAGGGGCTGAGAGGTTTTCCAGTTTGTAGTAAGAATGTAACCACTGGTCATAGGAGCACTGGCTGAAAGCTTCAGGAAGTCAGGGATGCAGAGCTTGGGCCACATTGCTGAATAAATGAATATTAAGAAGAAAGGAAAGATATTTGTAAAATGAAAAAGCCAGGAGGAAGGGCTGCTTCTTCACCTTAACCAGAATCCTGGATTTCAAGGCTCCAGGATTGCCTGGCTACAGCACAACTGAATTAGCAACTGAAGGGAATGCAGTGAACCCATGTACTTTGATCTTGGTAAAGCAGTTGATACAGTGTCCTGTGAAATCAGGATCCTAAATCAACTAAAGCTTATGTTGCTCCAAGAACCACACAAGTTAAGCAGGCTAGAAAGAAAAACACTGGCTACATCTACTAGTATGATGAAGAAAAACGCCACAAGGAACAGAATTCAATCTTTACTCAAAAGTAACTTAGAAATTACACTGTTTTGATCAAATTTGCACATAACATTAATTTGGGAGGTGTGAAGAGAGCAAATGAGAGTGAGCCAATTGACTTAGTTAAATTAGCAGAAAGGTGAAGAAAAACAGAAGTTCAGTTTCATTTTTGTGTCCCCTTTAATTTGCAGGGAGTGGCTACAGATGTCCAGTGGGTAGTAACCACCTCTAGACCTAAAATGCCAAGACTGAACTAATTAAGCAATAGCAAACAGATACATGTTTAAAATGTTAGGACTTCAGATCTGAACTTCACAGAGCAGGGTCCTATTATTCCATACACTATCAGTAAAGATCTATGGGAAATAATATTTCTTTCAACAAGACTTTGTTAGGAAAACCTAAAGAAAAGAAGGGGCTCAAAGGCTGAGTTTAGGAGGTCAGATGAAAAAGTCAGTGGCGTATGTATAACGTGGCCCCACTACAAATATGCCGCACAGGCAGAAGGTCATGAGAACGGTTTGCAAACACATGG